GGGCAGGGTGCATCGCCCAGCACCCGTCCCACAGCGCTCCCCGTTCCTCACTCCGCTGCTTCGCCACCTTTGGGCCACCGACCACTGGAGACATCCCAAAGCAAGCTGCGAAACTGCTGCCAAAACCCACCCAAACCCATACACACTTGTTTCTGCATACGAACGAAACAGGGGGAAAAACACAGCCCCAAAGTAACCCCTTGATTTGGCTGTAAACTAAAACCATTGCACCAATGCTACACAAGAAATCCAATGAATTTTTATTTCCCCCAGAAGGTTACATTGACCTCTGGTGAAGAGGATTTGAGAAATACTCACTTGACACATACCTGAAAGGCGTGAAGAGGTTGGCCGTGCTGTCCCAGAGGGATGCTCCCCGTGGCCGCGGCGTGGCCGGGCTGTGCCTCCCGTGGGAGCCGGGCGGAGGGGCCACATGTGGGAGCCCCCGGGAAGGCGGGCGAGGGGCTGGAGCCATGCTGGGCTGCCCGTAGCACTAACTCAGCAATTTCACTTCCTTTGCAAAATATGGTCTAAAGAATACTTCTTCTGTACAGAATTATTTTTTCAGTCTCTTTTAGAAGAACAATAGTACACCTATTTAAGAAATTCTACAAAAGCACATCTTGGAAAAATACCTGGGGATCCATAAACTAAAAAGCTTCCTTGAACACATGTTTAAACTATTCATGCTTCTCCCGAGACATTCCGAACAGGCACAATCGACTCCGCGTCCATGAAAACAGAAAAGTAAATATTGACCTGCGCCAAGTATTTGTATTCTCTCTCCCCTGGCAGTGACATTGATTGCTGTAAAAGTAGTGCTGAAATTAAGACATTGAAAGACGCGATGAACGGTTCTTGGGGTGAACTAAAGAAAAACGACGCAACTTGGGCCTGACGAGTTTTTCCTGAAAACAGGCAAGCAGAGGCAATGCCACGGTGCTGTGCGGCTGCGCGGCAGGGGCAGTCGGCCCGAGAGCAGCTGCTGGCCACACTCAGCAGAACCATCAATAGATTGACGTTACTGCTGCTGAGAAAAAATAACGAGCGTTAAGAGCACCATTAAGGTTTAAAGCCAACCAAAAAAACATATTAAATCTTCAAAGAGGCACAGAGGAATTAAAAAGGCTGAACAATTCATCCTTCCTGCACATTTTATGAGCCCCCAGAATTGCTAGGATTTGTTTGATCTTGTGACACCTCACCTTGCATTCCTAAACATCCATAAAAATACCATATTCTTTGGCAAACAAGTGTTATTTTGTATGATATCTTTAAAAGCTGCAACCGTTTCCTTTTGGTGGAATACCATTAGCTTCTCCTGCTAACTGTTGGTGTATCCAGATGGGACCTCGGGGCAAACGATGGGACAGAAGAGGACCCTCAGTCCCACATGGGTTTTTCAGACACATCCGTCTTTTGCTTAAACCACAGGAAAGTGAATTAGAAGATCGGGTACGATTTCTAGCACGAGCTGCCTGTTTGTCTTGGAACTGGTTATTTAACTATTTGATGCCACAGTCTCACTCATTTGTTAGAAACATTATTTACCCTGTCTGCAAGGACAAATTTGGAGATAATGTTTGCAAAAGGCCCTTAAATGCCTCAGTTAGAGAAGCAGATGGGAGTTATTTTCTTAATAATAAATTAAAGTTCAGATATAGATTCATTACCATAATGTAATACTGTGCTTGAAGCAGACAAATACTTCAAACGTTCGTAACATTTGCTTTCCATGCTCCTTGAATTTTAAGTGGGTTTTGTTATTTTTTGAGAACATAAGGCATCTTTACTCCACAGTCAGGTCATACCCTTTCCTAAGAAAGCCAGAAAAAGGCTGAAGAACATAAGGGGCTGCATGTGTTAAAAAAGAAATAGTGAGATCCGACTCTTTATTAGGTGGAATCGCTGATTATCCTAATGCCCACTAAACACTCAGGATAACAGCCAAGCTGCTCATTGAAACGGCATTCCCACCCTCACTGGTGGGAGCTTTTCTGTTGACGTCACTGAACATTGGATCAAAGTTTTCAGTGCTGTAAGACACGTTTTTGTACAATATCACCTAACAGCCTTGCAGGTTCTTAAATATCATTTATTTTATTTAAGCTCTGAGGGCAAATTCTACTCCAAATCGTTCAGCGCAGCTCTCTCAACCTAAATGAGTTGCCCAGATGCAGCCGAAGGCAGAACTTTGGCCTGGCCGATGCAGTTTCTGGGTAGTACCTTTCTATCTCTCCACTTCCTTGCACTCCAGTAAATGTCAGACCTATTTCTCTGAGTAATGACAAATCCTTCAAAATACTTCAAACGTTTGTTTCAGGCTCAACTTTTCCACGTCCGAGTAACTGCATGCTTGGAATGAGGGGAAAAAGAAAATGAAATTACCATTTGTGCAGAATTAGTTTCTTCAAGGAATATGCTCCAGAAGGTAACCTAGTGCAATGCTCTGAAGAGATCAGAGGAGCATCTTCAGTGGCAGGAGTCTGCAGCTTATTATTAGCCACATAATTATGTGTCAAGAACCTAATGATACCAGAGGAAAGGGATGGGCAAAGATGTGCTTGAACTTCTCTGAACAGGGATGTCGATGTGCGTTGTCCTCTGACTGCAGCCATCACGTTCTCGGTCTCAGCCTAGACCATGTCCGTCTTAACCGTCGCTTCAGTCCCCAGTAAGAATGCTCTACGACGAAACCTGTTAAAACTAATCTTGTTTGACTGAAACCTAATCATGCAACCAGCCGAGCAGGTACAGGAAGGGTGCTGAGGAACCGGAGGGGATAACTTCATCGGCCACACAGCTCCAGCTGAAACGGATGGGCATCTACACCCTAAAACGACAAACACGGGGGAAATCCAGACAGCTCAGAGCTGAGGGGGCAGGTACGGAGCTGTAGGCGGGCAGCTGGAGGGCCTGACAGATGAAAGGAGCAGTGATGGATGGTGTTGTAGCAACAGTCACTGCAAAAGCAGAGAAGGAAACAAAAGAAACAGGATACGGCTGTTTAAGGAGGTTGATATGTTACATTCCTGCAAGCATTTATGAATTCCTGCTTATATGCTAGAATACAAATATTGGCAATTACTTTTATTTTTTGCCTACTCGGTAAAGTTACTGTCTGTATTCAGCGTTTCTGAATTTGTGCTGTTACATTTGTGTAATCTGGGTGCATAAATGCAAACTTAGGGAATATTAAGAGAGAAATAAGACAAGAGACATAGTAATTCAAAAGACCAATCTTGAATTGTTATGGCAATCTTGAGAATTATATTTGCACGTTATTTGCCTGCTTTTGGTCTCACTTGGTGCCCAGGAGATTCACTCCCAGAAATGGCAGGATTTCACACCAAAGCATCTTAATTCTGGCCTGCAGGCCCTAGTAGTGAGAGGAAGGCTTAGTCCATTTGTCTCTTTACAGTAACCAAAAAATGAGGGCTGAGCTAATGCCCGTGACATCAGTAGGGAGTTTCTTCATTTGGTGTTACTGTTACTGAGTTTCTTCATTTAATGCTCATGGATGATGAATGCTTATTCTTCTGTCTAGCTTGAGCACCTCATAGCGTTTCACCTCAAAGTTCAAGCAAAATATTTTTCAAAAGATTTTTGGAAATCCTCCTCCAGCAATCCGATGAACTCAGGAAATTGGGAGAGTTCGAATTGTTAAGCACGCCTCTCACATCCAGGATAAACACCACCAAATATGCTCTGCATTTTCCATTTAATTCCAGGGGACGTTTCCTTCGGTTCCCCCAAGGCAATAAGAAGTGATGTTGTGATTCACTGTGCATTAGTGGTTTTCACCTGTGGTGTGAAGATGCTTGTGCCTCTCCAGATAACTTCTGCAAAAGTCCTGTAAACGATGACAAACAGCCTGAGCGGAGGCAGAAAGCATCTACGCTAAGTACTGAGCTGAACTGTGTGCCTTACGTCCTGTTCTCACGCCCTAAGCAATTTTATCGGCGTTGCTTTGCCTTTGCCGTGAATGCAGTTTACACTTTGCAGAGCGCAGCCTTTTACACTGGATGAGGACTGCTCGCTCCGGATTCTCCCTGGGGCAGCGTATCCAATACCCTCGGCACAGCGTGAATGTCTCAGCACGGGGCGAGACAGCAGCTGATGAATTGGGCTAAATGAATTCTGGCAGAATGCACAGGGGCAAGATATCACAAGGCTTATCCCCCCATTTTTTAGCGTACTGTTTGTCCCTCTGTCCCTACCAGCGTAAGGCTGTGGGACATTCTGAAACGAATGGGGAAGCTTTGGTGAAACCCACCTACAGAAATCTTTGTGATTACCGAGGCTTAATACCGGCATCTGTGGAACTCAGCCTTTCAAAAACAGTCAGTTTGCTGTACTTATCTCTGAACGATAAAAGGCAAACTTTCCTTGACCTGCATAAATTAGGAACATTCAGCTTAATTTTCTCCAGTTGTCTGCATTCTGGAGCTGTACAACACCCAAAAAAGGAAGCATCGCTATCAATGGAGTCAAGAGTTAGGGTGATAAATGCTGAAATCCCAAAGAAAGGCTGGGGACCTCCTCTACTGAATAGGTACAATTGCTTGGTTTCTACTGTATGAAATAATGATATTAAAAATGTACCAAATTTGTTTGCAGAATATACCAACAGCTGACATCTGTCATGATTTCACAAGAAAAAAATACAAAAGCTCAGTGTTCAGCTGCTCAGTGAAGTGACTCACATTGTATACCAGAGGTTTTGACTTTGTTCTTCCAGTCACCGTTTCTGACGGGAAATCAATCAGTTTAATCCCATAATGGGAACAATTAGCCTTACAGAAAAAGCAGACCACTTGTAATCTCATCTTCTGCTTACAATATTATGCCAATATTTCTTCTTATTTTCTCAACTGCTGCTCATCGGTCACATTGCCGTGCCTGCGAAGAGGTTACAGCTCATGTAGAGGAGGAGCCGGGGTTAATCCTGCCCTCGCTGTCAGCGCCAGGGCAGCAGCTGAAGCCATCAGGAGGAGGTCATGCACCCCCAAAGCAAACAGACCGGCTCCTTGCATCTGGTCAATATATTCCGGGCTTGCAACCTCACGGGTGAGATGAAAAGGAACCAAGCATCTCCTCCGGTGCGGCAGCTGGCGGCGGCCGGGCAGTGGGACGGCCCCGGTGACGGCAAGGTCCCCGCGTGCCCGCTTCACGCTGTCCAGGCTCATCATCGGGTTAGTCTCAGCCTGGGGATTAGAGGCCGGGAGTAAGATTAGACCTGAGCTAACAGGCATTTGCTCATCTGTTTGCTCTGCCGCCTGTGGTGAAAGTGGGACTGAGAATGGGGTGAACACGGAGCCAATTCATTTTTCAGCAAAATTGATAGGAAGCAGTGAATATAAAAAGACCGTGTTTTGTTTGTAAACAGTACGATGGAACATTTTGTGAGCTTTCCATGAGCCCCGATGAGCTGCCTTGTCCTTCTCCTCCACAGCCTTCCTTGAAGTTGCCCTTCACCAAGAACAGGCTGCTGCCGTGCTCCGACATGAGCCGACCGCGCTGTGTCATCGCTTCCCGGTGTTGCCCCTTGGGAAATCCATCTGCTGGCTCTTATCTTGTGTTTAGTCTGCAACGGTTTTGAGGTTTTATCCTTGCTATTCAGTGGGTTGCAAAGCCCCAGCCCTATGAAGTTCTGGTCTGATGGGCAAGGATTAGAATAATGTGTAAAAATTGTCTCGTTAATATTTGCCAGAACATAAGAATAAACTGCATTTTGGGTCAGGCCCTGCTGCTTTTTACCCTCTGAACATATTTTACAAAGACAAAGGATTTACCTTGGTCCTTACTGTGAATCTGCGTCTGCTGCACAGTGTTTAAGAGAATCAAAGATAGAACTGACCTTGGACAGTACAGCTTCTTGCGTACAATTTTCTCCGTAGCAATCTTACAAAGCTAGAAAGCCTCGGGAGGCAGCAGTCTGCTCCACCTGAAGGCGATTACAGAACAAGAAATTCTACTGGACCAACAAGATTTCTTTCATTATCCTAATGATTTCTCTCACAGCTGGATTTTTCTCTGTGGGATGCTTAGATCCACGAGAGAAACTTTTTAGAAATGATTTAGGCAAACAAATTAATTCAATAGAATTCAGAATGACAGCTCCCAACACTTGGGCATCCGCCAAGGAACTTTCAAAAGCCAAAATAATAACTCAGATCTGAGAGATTCTGCAAAGCCTGTAAATTAAGTAATCCTTTGGAAAACTGCAGTTAAATCTGCCATAGCGATGAGATTTGCCTGGACTTAATCCAAATAATGAGTTTCAAAATTAACTGTTTTCACAGGATGTTGGTTTTTTGGATATTTCAGATTTTTTTTAACTATTAAGTAAAGAAATAAACCGAAACCCTTAAAAATCTGTTGCACGTGAATCCCATCGGGTTAGGAAGGCACCAGAAAGGACTCATTTAGGCAATGGAAATGGAAATTAAGATGAAACTCACAGACTACTGATTAATGTAAGAAAGGAAAAGAGGTTATAGTCTGAGAAACGCTGACTACTGGAAAGGCAAATTGCACAAATGCCATGAAACATTGCTTGGAGTCTTTACTCCCACAAGAATTTTGAATTCATGTGATCAGCATCACTTCCAGGGACCGTTTCCAATCACAAATACTAAGAGGAACAACCAGCCTTAGAACATACAACTGAACATTCACAACAAATGAGTTTCAGACACAGACCTTGAGCCACTGAATCTGAAACCCAACCACCAGGTAACTTCTAGTTTGGTGCTTAAAGCTACTTTTAAATGTCAAATCTCTGTATTAAACTGTTCACAAATGGTCCAAAGGGGTGTTATTGATTGTTCCACTCTGCAGCCAAGGAACTAGCTTAGATTCCTACCTCCATTTAAAAATTAAATATGGATGCTTTTATGGATTAAAAAGTGCATCCTATGAAACATATATGTACCTGAGTTTAAAATATTTCCAACAGCAGCTACACTGAAAGAGAAAGATCTCGTGCCTTGGGTAACCACCATGAGTTGAAACAGAGGGACTATAAAAATATTTTCCTTACCTTAATGATAGAAGTATTTAAATTCTCAGGTGATAAAATTAACCGGAGTTTGGAATTTTACGTTTGCTACGTTAGACGTCAGTGCAATAAAAGCTCCTTCAGAGACGTCATCCATCTGGAACCTCTGGGTAAATAAGCTGCAAGAAGTATTTCTGAACTTGACGAATGTTACTTCAAAATGAACTTCTCATCATATAGGAGTTTGGTACTTCAATGAGCAATATGGGGAGTTGCACTTTCTAGCGTATAAAGGAAGGATGTCTTTGGGATGGTTAGTCACGAGTCCCCTCTGCCACTTGGCTGCCTTGCTCCGGGTCCCCTCTTGCTTGTAGCTGTGCCGTGCCCAGCTCCGGCACGCGGTCTGGCTCGGTGGGACATCCAAGGATTCACATGGCAGGAGAAGGACCAGGGGAGGGGAATGGGCATCGCGTAGACTCCGCTGAGAACCGACTATTGATAAAGGTCATCTCTGCGTTATGCAGGATATGAGGAGAGGTATCTTTGTAATGTAAATGTATTACAGACCTCTCTTCATCCAAAGGCATGTGAATGCAACAGAAGTTCAGTTAATACTTTTCTCAAGAGCTTTCTATATGAAGTAGGGACCTGCCAAATGAACCCTTATTAAAACTTCTCGCAGTTTGATCATTCGTACTAGTACCAAATAATCACCTTCCCACACTTCAGATGCCCTTTTAATCTATGTCTTCAGCCAAAAAATGTCTGACTGTTGACTTCGTCTTCTTCAGATGCCATTCCATCAATGTACTGGATTAGCGTTTCCAAATGTGCCCTTTCTAGAAGGTAAATTAGGCATGACTGATGGATGAGCGAAAACCGTAATTCCCAGCACATTCCCAGTTACAGGTCACATATCCGTGTTGAATAGTTAATTGTGCAGTGAAACATACTCCAGCTAGAAATGGAGAGGTAGCCAGCGTAACTACCAGGTAATAGAGGTGCCAGCAGTCATGCTGGGGACCCCACAAACATCTGGGTGGTTCTACAAGAAGATGCTGCTGGTTTAGGGGCATCATAAGTGCCACATGAATGTCAGGAAGCCACTTCAAAACCCAAGCTGTGCCTGCCAGGAATAAAGCAGAAGGTACATGATGATACGTTGAGCAACTTGTCAAGTTGAGCTGTATGCAACCAAGAGAGATGCCCCTGCTTTAGCAAGCAGAGTTGTACGGGTAGAGAATTTTAGGCTCTCACATAAAAAAACCCCATCCATCTATAGAGTGGCTGAATTCTACCTTAAACTCTGAAAAACAAAGAAGCTTTATTTTAGCAAGCCTTTTGCAGACCTCTCCGACAAATGTAGTCATTTATTGAACTTACAAGGTTTATCATGTATTTTTTTCACAGTCTAAAAATAAAATCTTTCATGAAGGGCCTGGGGGCAGTGCAGAGAGGACAGCGATTTATCACTGATAATCAAACTGTGTCTATCAAGCAATTTATGAATGACTAACTTCTATCCTAATAAGAAGGAAAACACTGAAGAAAATGTGCATAACAATCCATACATCAGCTTATCACCCTTAAACTGATGTGAAAATATCAGAGGACCTCATTTCTACTTCCACTCGACCCAGCCTGCTGCTACAGAGGACTTACAGCTCACTTCAGCCTCCTGAAACCTCTCTAAGGAGAAACAGCCATCGTCCAGAAGAAGGCAATTTGTAGAGCAAGAATATCTAGAAGAACTATCAAGCCGTAATGATGCTTGAAATCACTCTTCACTCTGCAGATGTTCAAAAACAGCGTTGGGGGGTCATTATCGGGCCTCCCAGATAAGCACGGGACCTCTGCTAGACATTGGGAGGGTGGCAAATGGAAAACCTGAATGCTCATTCAAAATGGGACACGGAGCTGGATATCCGTAGTTTACCCAGTCGGTCTGTGATAACAAAGGAAGGAAACTGAGAGTGTCACCAGCGGCAAAGGGGAGCCAGAATGGAATATTCAAAAAAGAAACAAAGAGGTGATAAGACTTCGGGGTGGAAAAATACTGGAAACAAACACCGAGGAAAATATTGCGGGGGGAAAGATAAAG